CTGCTACAGTTCTTCGTCGATGTATGATGAGCAATGACACTGCCCCCGGATCCGCCGACTGTCGTCGTCGAGTGATGGCGCTCCTTAGAGTCCGAATGAGCGGCACTGCTGGCCGGAGAAGAACCGGACGAGGACGGCCGTACGCACGTCATTTCTCGCTTTTTTAGTGGTGGCTCATAATCGAGCTGGCTGGTCGCCAATGACTTCTTGTCGCCACCACCACCACCACCTAGGTCGGGGTCACTGGACATCAGCTTCCAAGATTTTGAGGCCGGGGTGCAGGGCGAGTCGTCTTTCGAGATCGGACTGACCTTGCCTCCGAAGGCTGCCTTGACCGCGAGCCGCTTGGTCGGAAGCTCCGGCAATCCGATGCTGTTGCAAGTCTGTGCGAGTAACGCCAGTGGACTCTTGCTGGCGTCCGACTATAAAAGAGATCAGACATCAAAGAATGGAAGTAGAAGCACGACGAACGAAGAACTGAGAGTGAAGAAACAACGACAGTAGACAATGGGAAGCACAGAGACAAAGAATATACCACAGAAGAACGGTAAAACGTACCGAAGACGGAATTGGGCTCAGATAATCCGGACACAGGTACTGTTGATGAGTTGAGACCATGGCCGGGTCAAAAACTACGAATACGACTACCGACCGTTGCACAACTCCTTAGTCCTCAGTCGCCGTGTAGAAGTACCAAATCGATGATAGTTCGCAAATCACGTGGCCGTTGTATTTCCTCCTTGAACTTCCTTCCGAGAAATAGTGGTCGACGCAAACACGTCAGATACGCAAGCGTATTCCAAGAGGCAACAGCAAAACAACATACGGCGCTAGAACTGCGTGCACACTAATCTGCTGCCGCTGCTGCTGCAACTTTGACCGACCAACGACGGCGAAGCGAATGGCTGATGGTCGATTAAAACTTAAAGCGCGAGCCGCCGTCCAATTAACGCCAAACGACGGAGAACTTGTCCACGCTGATTGGCTGTTGGGCGACAGCGCACCAATCAATGTCAGCAGCAGATAATTTATGTATTTGTGTCGCTGAGCGTTACAGCGTCGGAAAAATCAATCATTAAATTTATATTCTGTCAGTGAAGAAGTTGATGGATGGTTTGTTGGCGGCGGTGACATACGGTTGCCGTCCGTCGATCGCGTATTCAACCAAGGGAGAGAGGAACGGTCGCTGTAGGATGGAAGGGCGGCC